AAACGAACCGAAACCAAACTTAAGTACGACTAACGTAAACGTAACTACCTACCACGTCGAGACGTACGTACCGACCTACGTAGAAGTAATAGTCGTACTTATTATTGTATCTCTCTCTCTCTCTCTCTCTCTCTCTCTCTCTCACACACACAAAAGGAAGCTACAATGCTCTTTGACATCCCTCAGCCATTGGGACTGATTAATCACCAGTCTATGGCCAAGGATACTTGGACATGGAACCTAATTCTTCATTAACTCCCTGATTTTCACTGAAGCATCCTCTTCCCCTAACAACAAAGGAAAAGAATCAAATACTACTCGCTTATATTTTCACTGAAGTATCATTTGCAATACGAATCCTTTGTTATTGTCATCTTCTTTTGTCACACTTTTCTTTGTGGTAGCTAGCTTTCATTCTTTTTTTCTTTCTTTTTTCCTAGGTTCATTTTCCTTCCAGAATATTGCAAGGACTAATCAAGATAAAAGTTAAATTAATTAAGAGTATACAAAGGGATCATTTACTTTTTGTACAAAGATGTCAATCAGTATTGTCCATTAGATTTTGAATTGGGTAGTTGTATCATTAACTAGACTCGAAGTTCAACAAAAGAAAAAATTCTCAAACTTCATGACGCACCCCTAAATGATCCAATTTGACATCTAATTGCTATGAGCAAGTTTCATCTCCTGGTAACAAAGATGCATAATGTGACACATTCAATACTCAATAAAGAGAAATTATCAAAATACACCTAAATTTTTCAACAATATAATAATTTTTATTTTTTCAACTATTCCAATTCATGGTCATGTGTACATCAATCAGTATTTTGAAATTAAATTAAAAAATATGAGTAAAATGTTAAACAATTGATCCCTTGCGATATTTTGATAAATTATAAAATTATACGTATACTTGAGAAATATGTAACTAATGATTAACCAAACGTGCATAGTATTTAGTCATAATTGCTTGCAAATATAAATGTCATTACCATAAGTTTTACATGCAAGTGAAAAAAAATAGAAAAGAAAATAAATTATACTAGAAGCATAGGTGATTAGAATTATATGAAAAATAGTCTCCTCTTCCATCATATAAAAATGGGATGAGAGTCACTCGCTAGAGAGGTATGCAAGGGTGTTCTTTCTAAGAAACGTATAGAATATGATCATTTATTTTTTGTATAAAGAGGTCACAATCATTATTTGACTATTCGATGTGAAATCGCGTGGGTGGGGATATATTATTAATTGGGCACAAAATACAAAATAAAATTTCTCGAATGTTGTAACACTACAACTTGATTTTCAAAAAAAAAAAAGTCACACACTTTTGTCGGATTTCACATCTAATAGATAATGGTGATTGTGACCTCCTTGTACCGAGAAGAAACGGTCTATGTAGTGTAGAATCCCTTCTGTCTATCATAAGGTTGAGGTTCAAGAAACAGGAATAACATAACAGTTCAAGACTAGTTCATTTTTGTTTTATAGCAATAACGGTTGTTATATCTAGAAAATTAGTGGTTAAACAATAGTTGTGGGGATTAAGAGTACGACTAGGAATGGAATCAGGATTGGGAGCGGGGGATGATGAAATGCTAAAAAAGATCCTTAATGGTTGAAAGCATCATCTCTATAATATGTATGTTGGGAATTTAGATCCCCAAATGTTAGGATCGAAATCCCAACCTATTGGGGGTCTTGATTCAACCTTTTTGGAATGTTGATCCAAACTTTTTGAAATCTTGCTCCCAACCTTAAAAAATAATACCGTCTACGATTATATAAACTTTTTAAAGTAGGGATCTGTTATTTACGACCAACCAGCTATGCAACTATATAAAAAATATACTTGTGCTTCTAGCTAGCTATAAATTAAGAAAATCATGAGTTTGGTTGTTATCTTGGTCTTTTAATTGGGATCGCCTGATAGTAGGAATCGGGATTCCGAACAATGGGATCGAGGTCCCAAAGTTTAAAAATCGAGGTGCCTTTCCTGGACATCAGTTCAGTTATATGCCGGGAAGGTCAACCATCGAAGCCATTTTCCTACTTAGGCAACTTATTGAGAAGTTTGGGGTGAAGGGAAAAGACTTTTACATGGTCTTTATTGATTTGAAGAAAGCCTACGATAGGGTACCTAGAGATTTAATTTGGTGGGTGTTGGAAATGAAAGAAGCCACCAGAGGCTATATCAACATAGTGAGAGATATGTACGAGAAAGTGTTAACTAGTGTGCGGACAACTAGTGGAGAAACAAGTGAATTCTCAGCGACAATGTGCTTACATCAGGGATTAGTGCTGAGCCCATATATCTTTGTTTTGGTTATGGACGAATTAACCAAGCATCTACAAGATGAGGTACTATGGTATATGGCATTCGCGGATGACAGTTTTGATCAATGAGACTAGAGGCGGCGTCAACGCAAAGTTAAAACGTCGGAGGAATGCTCAAAATATATGGAATGCAGAGCATAAATGAGAAAGTAGTTAAAATTGATGGTCAAAATATATACCTAAAAGATATTGTTTCCAATATTTAGGGATGATAATCCAGGAGAATGGAGAGATTGAGGAAGATGTCGCGCATAGAATCAGAGCTAGGTAGGCGAAGTGGAGATGTGGAATCAGAGTTTTATATGATCGTCACATACCATTGAGATTGAAGGGGGAGTTCTATAGGACGGTTGTAAGACCAATGCTTTATTTAACGGAATGTTGGGCAGTCAAGAAACGACATATCCATTGGATAAGTGTAGTTGAGATGAGGATGTTGTGATGGATGAATGGCAAGACAAGAAAGGATAGAATTCAGAATGAACACACAAATGAACTTAGGTATGGCTTCAATAAGCAATAAGATGAGAGAAATAGACTTAGGTGAGCTAGCCATGTGTAGCATAGACCTAATACAACAACGGTTAGGACATGGACTTGGTTCAAGTGGAAGGCTCTAAAAAGATAAGAGGCAAGGCCCCAAAAGGACATGGATAGAAGTAATGGGAAAATATATAGTGACTATTGGTTTTACTAAAGTTATGGCCCTTGATAAAGAAGAATAGAGGAACAAGATTCATGTAGCTGGCCCTAATAATTGAGAAAAGGCATGGATGATGATAATGATAATGATGATGATGATTAAGATGATGATGATCCTTTTCTCGAAACGTCAGAGCGAGATTTTCTTTTTGAGAATGTTCACTTATATTAAGTATATGAAAATTTACAAAAATTGGTGCCCCCAACCAGGGGTGCCTAACATATCTTTCAGTTGTGCCTAACGGGCGAGAGAAAGTTAACAAGGTGCTGCCATTGTGTCATCTGAATAAGTCTCGTATTCCAGAGGGTCTAGGTTGCCCAGGGAGCAACCATCGAAGTATAGCTTGATGTTCCCTTCCTCAGTGGGTCTCCAAAGAGAAGCATGAGAGATTCTTCGAGATGACAAAGATAACAAGGATTTCCAATTGCTGAAAAGGTCACTGTATGCAAAGTGATGAGTATATGATTTTTGGCTTAGAGGGAGAAAACCTTCAAATCTTGTCAATCATGGAGGTGACGGAGGACTTAGCGCTCCTAAAAGTTCTATTGTTCCTTTCAGTCCATATGACCCGAACTGTGGCAGCAACAGATGCGCTCCACAGAATGCGAGCAGCCTTAGGCCAAGGAGAGGAAAAGAAGGCCTTGAATAAGTGAGGTATAGACCGAGGGGTGACCCAATACCAGTGGAAGAGTTAGAGCAGGTTGCTCCACAGAGAATTGGCCACTAAGCAGTGGATAAAAAGGTGATCATTGGTTTCTTCTGCTGCTATGCACATGATGCATCAGTTGGAGTAGGGGACTCCTTTCCTTTGGATTTGGTCGATGGTTAAAATTCTCCCATAGAGAGCCACCCAACAAAGGAGTTGAATTCTTGGAGGGATGAAAGGAAACCAGGCCTTAGAGGCAATGAAAAGCGGGGGGGGGGGGGAGACATGGACTAATAAGGTAGCTCAGGCAACGAAAAAACGAAGACACAAAGAAAGTGCCTGACGTAACAGGTTCCCATAACGAATTCAATTTTGACCTTCGAATGAGGCTAGTTCAATCTGAACCATTAAAATGTGCTTGTGAACCTTGTACGGGTCGACAACATGTGGACAGCATACCAACCCTTACAAATAACATCATCTTCTTTTTTTTTAATAGATAAAAATCAATTAGTTGTCATTTTCCATATTTAAAGATTATAAATAAAACTGAGAACCAAGACCACGGGAATGAGACCTCTTGTAACAGCCATTTTATGTTTGGAACATTTTTCACCCCCAACCCATTACCTTCATATATTGTAATGGGTGTCCCCTCCTTTCACCACCCCCGTGGTGCTGGTTCATATATGCTCCAAGCCACGTAACAAATGTAATGTTTGTTTTTTCTGCATAACGATTTCTTTGAACCTTACTAAAGATGTAAAATACCCCTGCACCTTATCTCAAGTAGTTCTTTGGGATATAACAACTTTCATTAGTTTTAAGCAGTGATTCAAAAAGCAGACTGCCCAACGCCTAGGCAGTCCGAAAGACCTGGGTGCATCGCCCAAGCCTAGGCGGCCAATCTGGCCGGTCAATCCCTAGGCAGCCGCCTAGGCGGTACGGAAACCGCTTAGGCGGCCGCCCCAGGATGGAAAAACAAATCGTAAGGGCATTTTATGTAGTTCTTTTTTGTTTTTAAGGCCCAAAAATTAGCGTTTTAGGTTCATTTGAAGCCTAAACCTTGTTTGAGCCAAATCTAGAGAGAGAAAACCACCAAAAAACTAGATTGTGATGAATTTTTTAAGATCGAAAGGTTACTCAAAGTTAACCAAACTTGATCAAACCATCACCCATTGGTATTATATTTACTTTTTGATGTTTTGTAAAGTTAGTAGGGGTGTTTTAGAAGATTTTGAGTATTTAGAAACATCTTGGGGGTGGAAGTTTGAAGATTGAGCAATCAAACTCAAAATAAGTGATTTTTTTTATTGCTTTAGTAATTTGCATTATTTTTTAGATGTCTTCTTCGGAATCTAATAGGAGTGGTGATCCCGGTTGGAAATATGGCTATAACCCAGATACCAATGATAAAAATTGCATAAGATGCAATTTTTGTGAAAAGGATACAAAAGGGGGTATAAACCGGTTCAAGAAACATCTTGCCGGTATCAGGGGGGATGTTGCCCCATGTAAAAAGACTCCTAATGCTGTTAAAGAGGAAATAAAGAAATTTTTGAACTTGGTGAAAATGAAAAAAGATGAGAGATTTGTCTCTATAGCAGAGATTAGGTCTAGGGTTCGAGTCAATTTTGATGATGATGATAGTGATGAGGAAAAGATTGGGAACGGATTTCAAGAGATAGAGCAATCCTTTATTAGGGGAAAGGAGAAATGAGTTGTAATTGCTTCTGGTTCTGGTTATAGGAGTAAGAAGCCTCGGGTTAGAGGCCCTATGGATAGTTTCTTACCTCTGCCTGACCCTAAGATTGTAGGAGAGAAAACAAAAAAGCCAAGCACCATTGAAAATAGAATCAAGAAGGAAGAGAGTGATAGAGTTGCGTATTATTTGGCTACATAGTTTTATAAGGCAAACATTCCTTTCAATACCGCTCGCTTGAGCAGCTTTTACGCTGCCGTAGAGGCAATTGGCCAATTTGGCCCTGGGATGAA